TCAATCATTCTTTTTAACCAAATGAGGAGCAATAACTTCTTCGAGTCTTTTTAATGTTTTTTCATTAGACATATGTATTTATTTAGGAAAGATTAATTCAGTAATTCGATTATTTCATTTCTTATTTCGAAGTTACTAAATAAGAGAACTTTATTGTTAATTCAGTCAGTTCACTCTTTTTTTTTACTTTTAGACAATTTAAATTCTAATAATTCTTTTCAGGCACTAGGGGGAGTTAAAAAAAAAGTTTTTGAATCAAAATGATAGTCAACCATCTTTTTTCGATTAGGAAAATTTTCTAAATAGTCTAGGTAGAGAATATGGGTTTTTTTTCTAGATCGTGATAGTAAGTATTTGTTATTATATATTTCCAAAGGAGTAAGATTTTTTTGTTCTACTTTTTGAACATTAAAGTCGCCTTTTTTAGTGAAAAAGACTGGTCAACCTTCCTGATCGCCTTTCTTCCGGAAAAAAACTAACCTTTTTTTCACCATTTTTTGAGTATCTTCACAAAATACTTCTTTTTCTCTTTCTCAACACCAATCCTCACTATCGCCTTTTTTTCACAATTCTTTATCCGCAATTTCATCTATTTCCTCATCTCAATCGGCTAGTCGGTGATAAGTTCGATCGTAAGGATTAGATAAGTGTAGAATTGATGGTTTAGGAAGTTCTTTGTTTCTTCAAGTAGACTTTCATAAATCTTTAAACTTACTAGGCTCATTTTCTAAATATTTATTTTTCCGATCTAAAAGAGTTGGCGTGGCCTCATCGAATATTATTAAATAGGGATTTTCTGAAAATAGACCACGAATGTCATTATAATGCTCTAGTTCGGCAAATACTATGCTATTGTCTTTTTCATAAAAAGTTCCTCGAACAATTACTTCTCACAATTTATCTCGTTTCTCTCGAGATAACCCTTTTTTAGCACAATATTCACCGACTCTGCTTTTGAAATAATCGAGTAATGACTTTCTTGAATCATCAGGATATCGTCTTAATCAGAGAAATTTTCTTTTACCTTCATCTACTCGAGGTAAAATTCAATGAGAAGTAGTGTAAGTTTTACCTTCTCCCCGGCTAGCAATAACAGCTATTTCTTGATATTCTTGTGAATTCTCCAAGATATGGACTAGATTTTGAGTAAAGATGCCAGATGAC